TGGGCTCACCCATAGTGCAGCCGGCATGGGAGCAGGAGTGCAGCTCTCCACTGGGTCCTGAGCTCTGTGGTGGGGTGTCTGACATGGTTTCTAATTAGCCTCAGGCAGGTGTGTTTGTCTCCCTGGTAATTCGCCTAAAGTTGGCCTGGGTAGCTTTTGAGAAGAAACCTGCTGCAGGGGCTACAGCTGGGCTAGTCCAGAGCTCGTTTTAGGCTTTTCTGTGTGTGTTGATTTGGGAGGGCAGTTGGGAAGCTGAGGGTCAGACAAGTTCAGCTCTGCTCCAGTCCCTACTGGGACCAGCCAGCAGCACACATATCCCTACGCTGCGGGGAACTGTCTCCTATGGACTGACAGGTTTGAAGTCAGCTGAAGTTCTGTGTGTGCATGCAGGAGGTTCTTCTAGCCTTGAGTTTTGAGACAGGGAGGCTGAAGCTCTGCTGCAAGGAGCTCTCCTCATTGTGCTATCAGGTTCATGTCCCCACTTGCAGGACATGGTGCAGTACACAGCATTGCCCTTCCCTGCAGGGATCATCTGCCAGGAGAGGCATTTCTGGAAGGAGCTAAACCCAACAGACTCATTTGCACGTGTGCTTCTTTCTCTGGGACAGTATGAGGGAGGAAGCACACAGCAGGTCTGACTCACAGGCACCAACGACATGTCTGAGGTTTTGGTTCCACAGACCACCAAAGGGTGGTCACCACAGCTGCCATGAGAGCTGGGGTGTGCTCCTGTGGTGCTTCTGGGATAAGGCATGCAGCACCCATCTGGGGCTGTTCAAACCCACACAGAGCTTGGGATAGAAGACTCCAAATACCACTTTGAGCACAGCTCTCAGCTCACTCAGAAGCTGCTTCCACACAAGCACTGCAGCCTCCAACTGACAAAAACTCATCACATGCATCTTCTACTCACTCTTTTACCTTAGCTAGATATAGCTTTGCACTTGTTCAGCAGGCAAAGCCTATGCTGAACCTGTCAGATGGACCAGCATCTTCCTGTAGGTCAGGGGATGCACAAGTGGAGACTTAGTGAGGGCTGGTTCCTCATGGGATGTTTAGTTCCTTGAAACAACAGCTTTTGCTTAGTTTTTCTCCATTTCCAGGTAGAATTTGGAGTCTCTTCTTCCTCTTTCTCTCCATGCTTGTTCTGCCTGCATATGAGAAGACAAGTACTCCAAATATATGACAGACTGGTAGATAACTCTTTTTGAAATTGATGGGTATCTTGCTTTGTGCCAGACCTCATGATTGGATCTCCGGATTTTTCACTGTGGCATGTTTTCTCTTTCTCCCTAACACTGGGTAGCTCCAGAGTAAGGAAGAGGAGAAAACATGAATTTAATGACTGCAATGACAAACCTCATTAGAGCAACTTTGTGAGGGGAAAATGTCTTGCACTCTTCACTGCATAACAGTGTCCCAACAGACATGATGTCATTGCATCTTAAAAGATGTTTTGAGTTGGAAAATCTTTTCAGCAGCATTTTAAGAGGCTATTTAAATTATTAATAAGGTTAGTGAATGTGATTTATTATCTCAAAAGAAAAATGCACAGAGGGCATAAAATGTATTTGAAAGGGATTACTGTGTTTATTAATGCTACAGGTGTTATATTGCCACATGCTATCAAAATAAATATGCTTAACTGTAAGAGAAAAATGTAGCATCTGGTCAAATGTTACACATCTGTATGCGTAATATACATACACACTCTGACAATTTGTGCTGAAAGAAGAAGTAGATGGGCAGAGTATTATTTGGACCTCATATCATAAAATAACACAAACATTAGATTTCACCTGTTTTCCCTGCTCACTAGAGATATGCCTACAGTATATGTGATGTATATTCTGATTAGGTGCATCCATTACAGCTATTTAATGGTGTTTATTATTGCACATCTGAGAATATTTACCTAATGGATGGTATGTAAATTTCCTCCAAATGGAGCTTGTTGGAGATAAACTGTTATTCTCCGCTCCATAGGCACAGTGCGGGACAGCTGCTGGGGTTGAGAACACATGACTGATACCAAAATCACAGTTGGCTTTTCAGCCTTTCAGTTGTTTTGCTTTGAGATTTCTCTTTCCCCCATGTAGTGTTTACCTGAAGGCAGAGCTGGAGTTCTGGCAAAATCCTTCTTAGCCAAAGTCCTATTTTTTGTTTCTTAAAAGTTCAAAGAAAGACTGAGACTGCTTTTATTTCCAGTGGAAGTTTTCATTATGGTGAATTTTTCAGTGGCAAAATGGATTTGCTCAAACAGACCTTATTTTGTAGGTCTCCGAATCACGGGGAATTAGTTTATATTGTTAGAAATTAGGAGGTCTGGGACATTGACTCCTTACTCTCTCTCTTTATTAACTCTCTGAAGGTTACAAATGCCCATGCAGATATTCCTGTGCTCCATTCAAACACTGCCTGGTCCCTGGCACTGGCCTGAGGGGCTCTGTAGTGCCATGGTCCTTGACTGTTGATGGCTAAGGAGTGCCCAAGCTGGGCTGTGGCATCCTAAACCGCAGGCTGGCTTCAGAAATCTTAGACTTGACTTCCCCAAAACTCCCCTTCCTCCTCTGTGAAACAGGGATAAGCATTTCCCTGATCTGAAGGCACTGAGACTAAGGGTCTACATGAGAAGTCCCATTTCCTCCCCAGGACTTATTCTGTTTGTGCTCTTTCAGAGAACACCAGGATGCCTCCTGCCTTTCTTGCTTCTCCATCTTGGGTGCCCTGGGAAGGACTGCTCCCAGCCCTGCTCTCAGCTCAGAGCACACCACTGCTAAGCATCTCCATGGCATCTGTCACTGCACAGTAACTCTTAAAACTGAAAGTTGCCATAGAAGCAGAGCCTCTAAAGGAGACTGGATTTCTTTATCTGTAAGTGTTAATTTTCAACTTGTATCCCTTGGGCACAAGTACTGAGCAGACAGTCGCCTGTATTGGAGAGGGCTGTGGTCCCCTCCTGCTGCCCTGTAGGTGCTCTACCCCACACCAAGGGCCCTGCTCATGTTGCCGACATTGCAATTTTGGCATGTCCCGGCATTTATAACTTTTATAAAAATAAGCTGACCGGAAATTACATTCTGCCTCCTCTGGGGTTTCCATGGAGCAGATCTAATTATCTTTCTTTAATAGCACTAATTGGCGAACTTATAGCCCTGGCTGTTCAGCCCACTCCTCCACACTCCCTTTATCCCTTGCACTGCCCTGGCCTCTTGGGCTGGATGGGATTTAAGCATGGTCTGATGGTTTGTGAAACCACTTTGACTTCTTGCCCTCAATCCGATCGTGCTACCTGAGCTCCCCGACCTGTTGACAGAGGAGCTTTCCTTTGTCTTTGCAAATTGACACAGCTGCACACTTCGCAAATAGACTCAGATGTTGAGCTTTAGGCTGAATGGATCCTCCAGATTAGTGCAGGGGAGAATTAGCTTTAAAAACGCTAAGCTGGAGCCAGCAGCAGGAGAATGGAGTGAAGCTCTTTATCAGGATTCACTGCCATAGAAAGGGGCTCCCTTGCTCTGGTAGTGATATTTACTCCCCTTTGGGGAGGACATTCCTGGAGCCAATAGCTCATCATGACCCTGTACTGTGGACCGGAGTTAATTCACCTACTGTATAATGGGTAGATTGGCCTGGAGATTACATGGGGTGATCTCTCACCACACACGCTGTTTGCTGAGTGGTTTGGGGCTCTTGGCAAGCACAAAAGCACAAACACAAGCAGCAGAAAATCTGGCATGGGGGGATTGCTGCCACAGTGCTCAGCAGAGCTTCAGGCAGCGGCTGAGATTGAGCCCTGCAGGGTCCTGCTCTCCTGGCATCCCACTATCCCATCCCATATCCACATATGTGGATATGGGGCATGTAAGACCCTGCAACACTCTTTTGCAAATGGCTTGGAAAGTTGGCCACAGAGATGAATTTCCCAAAGCTGGAGCAACCGGCTAGAAATGAAAGGTGATGGTCAACTTTGACTTGCGGTAAAGCCAGGCTGTGAACAGCGAGAAAGTGTCTGTCTCAGGCCAGGCAGGGGAAGTCATCTGCCTGCCGTTGCCTTGTCTGGATGCAAGGGGACAAGATTGGCATTGGAGGCAAATAACACTGAACAACTTGTTAATGATTTTACAGCAGGTTAAAGTGAACGCCTCAAATAAAACTATGGGAGACCTTCTATAATTCTACACGGCTGTAAATATGTATTAACTACTATCAGCAATTACAGTTCAGTTTGGGAACAGTTAAAGTGGATGCACACAGAAAGGATTATCCTTAGAAAATGAGTGTGCAGATGAAAGGTATTTAATTCACATTAGCTAATGAGCAGAGATAGAGGTGCAGAAATGGCATCCCCCTCTGTTTTACAGTGCTCATAAATGAAACAGGGAGCAGGTTGTGTGTCCCAGGCCATGCAAGGGCCACGTGTGTGCCCATGAAGCTGAACGGGTGGCACTTACAGGAGGGTGGGAAGGAAGATCCTGGACAAAGTGAACCGCCTGCCCCTCCAAAGAAATGTGTCCACTTGAGTTACACCCTCACGCTCGGTTACTTCATCCTCAGCCAGCTCTTGCAAGGGGCTCAGGACCAGCTCCCATTACCCACCCATTCTGCTCCTGGGTGTTATTTTCCTCATTTCTCCCAGGGCCTATATGCTTATATTGCCTGCAGCTGCAAGAGCTGGTTGGACTTCTTCATTATGGAAGGTTTGCATTTTGCCCAGAAATGCCTAAGCTGGACCCAGGAAAAGCAAGAAAAGCATCTCCCGTTGCACTGAGCATCTGTCTCTCCTTGAACTGATTATTTGTCTCTCCTTTTCCTGGCTTGTTACAGTGGTTTCTAACCCTATCCTTTAATGATAAATGCCTGACTTACTGTTAAATGTGCCCTGATTCCCTTTTCTGGTTTTGAGACTTGTTAAAGCATTTTCTATTGAATTCAGTATTTCTTCTGTTTCTTCTTCCTACCATGACTTTTAGATGTATAATTAAATGCTTATTTTTCAGGTTGTGCAAAATCCGTTGGGCTATGCCAGTCTCACTCCAGAATGCTCATTTCACATACTTTTTGTGACTCTCTCGGTACTTGCCAGTGTTTCAGCACAGTGTGAGCACCAGAAGGTCATAAATACTTTGTTGTGACAGCTCTGTCCTATCTGTCCAAGGATCTTCTTGGTGTTTAGCCACAGCAGCAGCATTTTGATGGAGGCAAATCCTTCCAAGGGCAAGAAAGGCCTCAGTCCTCACCCTGAGCCCTCCATCACCTGCTGGTCCCCTCTTCCTGCCTTAGGTCCTCATCTGTCATTAACATGTCTTAAATATTCATTCCTCACTCTCTCTGGCATGCTTGAAAGCTGAATTTTCAATTAAATATTAACTAGTGTTTAAAGGCCAATCATTAGTGAAAAAAAAAGCATTGGAATATTTTGCCCTCTGCATCTGTTTCTGGTGAGCTGATTCTCTCACTAAGCCAAGTAGCAGTTGCCAGTGGTGGTCAGTGATGCACAGAGCATCTCCCAAGCACATCCCCTAGTGTCTACCTGGCTGCCTGTGGCACATGTGAACTCCTGCTCCACAACCCGTGCCTGGGTTTCAGGCCCCCCCTGGGCAGGGTTGCTAGGGTCTCCAGGGCACCCTAGGCTGAGCCTGAAACTGCTCTCGCTCTTTTGAAGATGCAAAGTGCCCTCACAATACCCAGCCTTTGAGACGGGAACACAGCTGAAAACCTGGTGAGCTGAAGCTGCTTTGTGATTGCCAGTGCTTTTGTCATGCACCGGGGCTGCCAATACAACTGCAGTATCCCTTGTCAAGTGCCTAGCTCAACCTGCCCCTCTGGGCCCAGAAGGCTGAAATGCTGCCTGGGAAGGCACAGGAGAGTAGAGGACAAGGCTAACAGACCATTCTGTAGCCCTGGAAAATTCAAAACTTAAAACCAGGCAGGTTTCAAGAATGGGGAGAGGACAAGGGATGTCTGGATGCTCCTGGGTTATCCTGACATTCTAAACTTGGGCACAGACAGCCTGTTCAGGCTGCCTGCCTAAGTGTAGGTGCTGCTGCCCCAGGCTCTGCCTCTTCCAAGGTCCCCAGCCCCAACCCACTGTGCTGTGAGCACCAGAACCCACCTGAGCACCCAGAGGTTTTCACCCTGGTAGAATGACCTTACCAGCACCTGTAAGGCATAGACAGGAACTGGAAAGCTCCGGCTCTCCAGTGCAAGCAGAGATGTTAAGTGTCCTACAAAACAAATTTATCACTAGGGAATATGACTTTCTCACCTATCTGTTTTTGCTTCCTGAGGTACATCTTCTACTCCAGCTCAGTTAACTTCTGTTCAGCACTGCTTTACTGGTAATTACCTCTGCAAATGATACCTCTTCCAAAGTGCCCTGCCACCGTATCTGTTAAAAACCTGTCAGAGAAGCCTGGGTCTGGACTCTGGAATGACATTTGGTGCAGTAGCAATGTTTGAACACAATGGTATTTCCTTCTGAGAAGAAAAAAAGGACCCTTCAACTTGTTTTCTCTCCCCCACTCCCTCCTCCTGGAGGAGATATTCGCCAAGAGCCACAGATGGGATCGTTTACAGTTTCCTTTTGAGCTGCCTTGGCCCTTTCAGGTTGTTTATTCAAGCTGGGCTCTCAAACGGGAGGGTGGGACAAGGAAGGCCTCCTTCCATATTCCAATTTGGATTGGGGTTGCTGAAGTTCTCCAGCTGACAGAAGATGATTGATGAGAACGATGCTGGCCGTAAACGTGGGAGGGTTTGGAGACCAGGCAGCTCTGCTCTTTGCAAGGCCTTAAATCCTGGTTGTTGGAGCAATGCGGGGAATGCCATCCTGGTGTAATTACAAACTGACAACAGGAAAAGCCACTGGAAAAGGCAGGCACTCCAGCGTTGTGGTGGGACAGCTGAAGAGGTGGCTGGGGATTTTTTGGTGTGCTTTGCTTGTGGAAACATGCACACTTGGTCCCAAGCTGAGGTCAAAATATGCTTACAGAAAGCAGGGTCTAGAGACGATGGGGGGATCTGCAGCAGAAAGCCTGGAAAGCTGCTGGAAGGGCTGAGGATCACCTCAGAGGGGAGGTTGCAGAATCTTTGGATACTTCCCTGGTGGCAGTGGGCTTAATACACACTTGTTAAGAGCACTGGAACCAGCTGGCAACAGTGCTGGTCCACCCTAATGGCCACAGTTTTGCACAGTCTCCTCTCCTGAGAGCAGCTCTCATTGCGCAAGTACCAGCCTCAGCTTCTCCAAAGCAAAGCTTGATGGAAAGGCCTCCAGGAGAGCACAAGATCCCCTTTTGACTCATGGGCGAGGCAGCAAGGATAGGAGGCACAGGGGACTACCATCGCATGTGATTCGGAACGGTGGCCCTGCTCCAGGGCTCTTCAGGGCATGGTTATAGGGAAGCTAAACTTTAATCTGGTTTCTCCTTCCCAGAGGATGGCTGGCATGAGCTGGCACCACTTTTCATTGCTCCGGCTGAACAGGCCTGTCCTGGTGTTGGACTTGCTGAACTACAGGGTGTGTGGCCTGGGTTAGGTCACCAAGAGCTTTATTCAAAGCTGTAAGCACCCTGAAGCCTCTAGACTGGAAATTTAACAAAACCAGGACAGCTGGGCTAGAAGAAAGCAGCCGGAGGTAAAGCAAGGCCCTAAACTAGATGTACTTAGAGTAGCTCCTCCAGTTAGGCTGGATGACCCTGTGGGGCTGGGATGAGAAGCAGGGGATTTCCCCTCCCCTCCCTGTGCCTGTGCTGCTGGTTTAAATCCAACCACAGCTGAGCAGTAAATAGTAGTTACCATCCAGCAGCTGTGGGGTGACCTGTGTGCAGTGAGTCAGTGAGCTCTGGCCACACAGCCCTGCAGACATCTGCCGCAGAGGAAGCCTGGGCTGGAAAGCATATTTTCTTTGGGAATGTGCTCTCATTTGGGTGAGCCCTGCAGTGCTCCCTGCACACAAGCGCTGCAGTGGCATCCTGGGCTGCAGCACTCCAGCACCCCAGTGCTGCAGCTGCATTCCAGGATACAGTGATGCTGCACACTAGTGCTGAAGACACATCTCAAAAGGCATCCCTCCTTCCGCACCAGCACTGCAGCAGCACCCCACGATGCAGCTCTGCTACCCAGCACAACAGCAGGCATCTGCATGTTGTGGCTCAACAGTCAGGATACGCAGGCCCAGCAGCAGAGCAGCATCAGCGTGACCATGTAACTAGAGTAGCTGTGATTAAAGGGGAACCGTTGCCTTCTAACGCTGCTGAGCAATCTGTAACCAGCTAAATAGAATCATGGTGCTGCAGTTGGTCAGGCTGAGCCTGCAGCAGCTTGGGCACATGCGTATCTGCCTTAGTGACATGGGGTTACACACAAGGGAACAAGGTAAATGTTTGAATACAGGGAGGATGCTAAATATCTGACAGCTCTCCAGTGTCTCACAGAGCTGACAAACAGAGAGGGTTTTGAGCAGACATTTGAAGGGCAGAGCAGGTTTTTTACAAGGAACTTCCTCTCCTGGGCAGATGGGACAAAAGGGGATAAAGCCAAGCAAAACCACACGGCTGCTTATTTATCACTTATATTCAGGCCAGCTGAGGCATACACGCTTCCCACTGGGCAGGGGCTGCACAAACACGAGGAGACTCCAGTCCTGCCTCAGAGTTTCCAGCCTAACAAAAAAACCCCAAACTTGGAGGAGTAGCAGCTCTGAAATCTCTCTGTAGATCTCCATCTGGTAAAAGAAGTGCAGACAGGGGCATGTTCTCTCCACATCAGCTGCACAGCGAGAGCGGCTTAGATGAACTCTCCTGGCTGGTAATAAAATGATTTTACATATGTAGGAAGCAGGATGTGCAAAGCCCAGGAGTCTGATCTTGTTTCTGAGATCAAACAGAGTCTTATTGTACAGGGGTGTGGAGCTGATGTAACTGTCTAGTGTGCCGGACACAATCGCCGTGGTTACGCAGCTGGACCGGAATAAAGCAAGTCTGTATCTCAACTCATTAATTTTTACAACCAACTGAACCGCTCTGCCTTTTTCTTTCTCCTTTTTGGTGGCAGAGGACTGTCACACAGCATCGGAGGGGCGCCCCCAGCCATCAGCCCCTCTCCTGCGGTGCCGCAGGACAGGGCTGGCATGGCGGGGAGCAGCCGGACCTATGCAGACCCCCTGGCCCAGCTGCCCACTGCGTCCCCTGCGTCCCTGGGGATGCTCAGCCAGCTGCATGGGTCTGTTGCTGAGACAGGCCAGGAGCTGGGGGGATTAGGGATGAAAACCCAGGCTTAACGTGAGCAGAGCTGCTGCTCTGTCAGCTACAGGTTATGTCAATGTTTCCATTAGAAACCCCCGTGTGCAAGGTTTATAGCTTGGCTGTGAAAGTGCCCTCAAGGCTGGGCTCTGGCAAGCCAGGGAAACCCGCGGGTTTCTGCTGAAATATTCAGCACAGCTGCTCCCATGCTTGCACATTGCTTTTCACCACATGCAAATCAAGGGGGCTTACTCGGCAAGCAGGGCTCGGCACGCTGAGCTGGAAGCACCAGAAACCCTGTGTGAATGATCCCTGCCTGCCTGCAGCCACAGCGCTGTGTCCCCAGGGCAGGGCGGGCAGGGTTGCCTGACCAGCTCTTGCACCGTGGGATCCCACGCTCCCAAGCAATGCTGCAATGCAAACAGTGAGGTGAATTTACCAAGCGACAAACCAGGGGTGCAGCACCAGAGCCCAGGGCCAAAGCCACTGGTGAGCTGTGGCAGGATGAGGGTGCGGGACAGGGACTTCTGGTCACTTCTGGCCATTGGACCAGGACCAGGAATCACCTTGTGCTCCTCTGCAATAACAATCCCTGTGTTCCGTGGTGGCCCCCCCCGGGAGCCCAGTCGAGCATCCTGGTCCAAGCTGATACACAGCCATGGCCCAGGGATGGCGCCAGCCCAGCACTTGGCAGGAGGATTTTATGAAGCAGCCAGAGCCCTGTAAGAGGCTCCCCTTGCCGGCAGCATGCTGAGCATGGATCTGACCCTGCCCTGGCTGCTTGCTTCCCGTGGGGGTGCTGCCTGGCCATGGGACAAACGCGCATCCAGGCCTCCTCCCTTCAATCCAGCCCTTCCCACTCCTGGGAAGCTGCTCTTGACACATATATATTTGCCTATTTTAAACTGCTGCCAAGAGCACTTGCAGGATGAGATTTTGCTGTGAGCATGATGTCCCAGGGCAGGCAAGACCGCTTTCTTCCCTTGCTCTTCCTCCTGGAAGGCTGGAAAAATGGAGAGAGACAGATGTCAGCAAGTCTTCTGGGCATGGTGCTGGGCTCCCCAGTGGCACAGCCATCAGTGCTGGCACAAGTGGTGGTCCACTTCCCCAAAGTGACCCCAGCTCTTGCAAATAAGGGATGGGTCTATAAGCAGTCCCAGAAAGCCAGGGAACCCCAAGGGGTTGTCATGGCCCCAGCCTGCGTGTTGGAAGGATGCTGGAGGGATGCTGCTTCCCTGGCAGGTGCCCAGGGAGATTATGAGGGGATTATGGGGCAAATCTGGTAAAACTAGCAGCATCCATCGGTGTCCAGTAAGGGACTTGGCAGCCCCCCATCAGCAGTGGGAGGGTGAGAGCCCAGAGCAGAGCCTGGCTGCAGGGGTAAAAGCTGCAGCACCAGCCTTGGGGCATAAAATGAAGTATAAAATACTAAGGAATAAGTTTCAGCTTTTTACGCCCATGAAATCAAAGCATCACCGTTTAGATTTATAGGCCATACTGAAGCATGTAATGCATTTTAGCATACAGTCTCAGGCTACGACACATCCCCAGACAAGCAGGAGCAGTGCAGCTTGGGCAGGTACCATGGGGGAGAGGGCACAGAGCAGCTTCAGGTCCCACTGTGCTCATGGGAGCTCTAAGCACTCACTAGACTGGGCTCTTCACAAGCAGGCTTTCTGCTGCCCTGCCATGTCCATGCCTCTCCAAATTGCAGGCTCCTCTCACCCGACAACCAACAGAGAGAGAAAAAAATGGGGGGAGAAGAAAAAACCCAACTCCTTGCCATTTTGCTGCTGCCTTTCCAGTACGCTTGAGTTACCATGGTTAGTTTTCCACTGTTCTCCTTGACCCCTGCAGCTTTCCCTTATGAGTTAGTGTCCTGGAATGTCTCTTTACGAGGTGCCTAGAGAAGTAAAGCTGACCTGATGCCAGTGCCCCCACACTGAGGACTTTATTAGTTTTTTTATTTTCTGTCTGGGTGCTCTCACTTGCCTCAGTCTTTCCACAGCTGCTAGGATTTATTAACGAGGGAGGTTCGTTTGTGTCCTGCCTCCCCTTCCCCTGCTTGGTGAATTGGTGGCATTGCTCTGCCAGTTACTATTTTTAATGCCTTTTGGGATGGTTTAGGGAGATCTAAAGATTTTGCTTGTGCAGATTTTGGAATATTTTGCTTGTGCAGAATCTGCAAAGATCTCCTGAAAACCAAAATAAGTCCTAAAAGTAATGTGGGGGCCACAGAGGGGAGCAACTGTGATGGGACCATCCTGGTGGAAAAACAGGACAAGGCAAGTGGAGTCCAGCCACGAGATAGCACTGGAACCAGGAAAGCCAAAACCGGCTGCATTGCTGCAGATGGGATGCAAATCCCAAGAATTAAGAGGTTAAAATCATTTTGGTTCCCCAAAATGCATAAATGTTTAAACATTGGAGTGGGGGGAGCCTCCTTCTCTCCCACACTGGAAGGGCAGCCTCCTTCTCTCCCACACTGGAAGGGCCCCATGGCACTGAGCTGTAGGCTGAGGAGGAGGCTGAGAGGTGATGAAGGACATGTGGAGATGTGCTGCATGGGCAGGAGCGAGGATGAGCAAGGCTGGAGGAGCAGAGAGGCCCTGCAATATAAACATGCAGAGGGCCAAAAGGGTACAGGGAGGGGAAAGAAGGGACAGACTTTGAAGGCAAGAGGAAGAATGGCCAAATATTTATTTGTCCATAAAGTAAGTCTCCATAGCAATGAAATGGTTCACAATACATTTCCCAAACAAGCCCAGCCAAGCGGGACGCAGGCAGAGCTGCAGGAGGGGACATGAAGCCTGCCTGGGCACTACATTGCTGGGGATGGCCGGTCTGCCATGAGGGACACCAGCAGGGGACAGGGAGGGGATGCCCCTTGTGGGGGCACCATGCAGATCTAACCGATGCCATGGGTGGTGGCAGTGGGGTTATTGCTGTGCCAGGGGGGAGGTGGAAGGAGTAGGTGGAGTTTCAAAGCTCTGTGTGTCAGGACATCTCAGGATCAGGCAAGTGTGAGATGCACAAGCCTAACCAGGGTTAGGCAGGCAAGGACATAGGATGTGCTGCCCCAAAATGCTAGGAAGACAAAGGGGCTGTGTGACGGGATGAAAGGCTGGCTGCTGCCGAGGAGCTGGGGATGCTGCCCAGGCTGGTGGCAGCCTTGGCACAGCAGCACAGACCCCATCACACCTGGTACATGACTCTGGGTTTACAGGGCACCTTGAATTCATTACTGAGCAAGCAGCATCTCCTGGGTGGGTGCCAGCAACAGCAACACATCCATGCTTTACAGCTGGGGCAGGTCCTGCATGGACCACACAGGCAGTGGATTGCCTGCCCCAGGAAGCATAGGGAGTTCCCCAGGCCATCATACCCCAGAGGACAGGAGACAGTTGGAAAGGGCCTGATTCTGAGCCCTGAGCTCCGTAGGGAGCCCTTCCCCAGCTGCCTTTGCCTGCTGCTCCGCCGTGTGAACTAGGCTACTGCCTGACCCCAACATATCTCAACAACAGCGTTGAGCGCCACTCCCAGAGCTCGTGCTTAGACAAATGTCACTGCTAATAACTTGGCTCCAATACACAGTGACATAAATTCCATTATTTTGATGTCAGCTGCACAATTTGTTCCTGTAACAAGGTGTTTTAACCTCGCTTCGTATTCATTGTTCTGCCCGCTTTGATTTTACTGTAAATGACTGAATTCGCTTTTGATGTGGTGCCAGTGCCCCATAAATCTTGACATTCTCTGTAAGAAAGGAAAGAGCCCTCCCCACTGTTTGGTTTGCAGAGAGTGGTGGCGGTGGGGGGGGATGACAGCTGCCGGAGCACCGGGATGGTCCATGCAGGGATCCTGTGGAACTCGAAGCAAGGTTCAGCTCTGAGCATTCACCTGGTTTTTCCCATCATGGAAAAGGAATGTAAGAGGGGAGAAGGTGGTGGGGACAAGAGTTGTATCTCTCTTAAAACCATGAGCTGTGAACCAGCCTCATTCAGAGATTCACGGCTCCTTTGAGGACCCAGCCGGCACTTACAGCTTGTAAGAAAACCACAGACCAAGCGTGATTTGTGTGGTTTGAGGTTTCATCCCAAGCTGCTTTTAAGTGTTTCAGTTCCCAGCACCTCTTCCAGAGTGTGCTGGAGGTGAAAAAGCACAATAAAACCACCCCCCACAAAACCCACACTTAACTGAACATTTCCAAGCCCAGCAGCACTTGGGGGACGAAACCTTCCATTATTGCCATTGCCCAAATTCCTTCTAACCCCAGCAGCAGTTGGATCAGACTCCTGCTTTCCAGCCGGTAATGCTGCCTTGGTTTGCTCGTCATCTGCCTGAGTGTTTCTGCCCAGGCTGCCTGGTAATGCAGCCAGATGAATTCTGGGGGTACTACTTGCAAGACAAGCTGTTCCCTAGAGCTGCCTGCCCTGGAAGTGTGATCCCCCCACCTGAGCCTGGCAGGGACTGAGGTGCTGGCCCCAGCGCTCACACCAGGGTGAGGGTAGGACTCGTGACTAGCAGGAATCTGTGTCCCTGCCACCAAAAAACAATAGTTGGAAAGGGGCCGTAGCCTTGGCCAGCCTCCTGGGATGGGGATGGCTGCCTGGTGGTGAGGGCAGAAACTTCTGCTGCCTCTACAGGGGACAGACCTGGTCCTGCCCAGCTGCACCCCAGACAGATGCCTTACCCTGGCTCTGCCACACACGCACCCGGGCTCCTTCAAAGAGAAAGGATCCTTCCCCAGGTTATGCCAGAGGAGTGTGGG